GGACTATTGAGACCAGAGACTGAGTATGCTCCTTACTTTGTGCTCTAATGTGGAACTTCACTCAGCCTCAACCCCTCAGAGGGAGGTTTTAACCCTCCCTCCGCTCACCAGCAGATTCACCTCGGGCTGAACAACCTCCTGTGAGATTAATCACACCGACAGAGGAGTGAAAGTCGTCCCTGCAGACTGTAGACCTAATCAGTTCTGCTTTTCTTCAGGCGTTTTGTTCTGACGAGGAAATAAACAAGACACTGTGTCAAACTGTATTTTGGAGGTTTTGATGTAGTGCTGGACAGTGTTGGTGTGTTGAAGTCTTGAAAAAAATTAAAAAGTGACTTGACTCACCTTAAAAAGATGTAATTATTTGTGCATGTTGGACTCAAATTGTACAGGTGCATGAATTACTGAGATTTGTGTTTGTCTATAACTGCATATGTGAATTAATCACACAAAATGTCATGAACACTTACAGATAACTTCTTACTTAATGCAGACTTTATAAATGAGTTTGAATTACAGATTAAATTATTTTTAGCTTTAGAAAAGATAATTTTGATGATGTATTAAATCACTTCAGACATGCATGATACTTAAAAGAAAGTTAAAAACAGATTTTAAAGATGTGWACAGATTCATACAACAGACTTAGAATTACATCTATTTTATCTCTTTATTTATTGTTTAGATTGACACATATTTTAACTAAAAGTCAAACTAATTTATTTAAATGAAAATAATTTCCTCATATTAAGCCCTGAGGCCTTTGTCCTCTTATTTAATACACATATATTGAAAGACTTTGTTGGTAGACAAACTTTGTTAGATAAAAAAAATTTAAAAACTACATCAACTCATGCAGATGTTTTAATATACTTACCAAGCGAWGACCTTGTGTCCTGTATTGTGCGCGGGTTGTGTGTGATGGTGATCTTTTATAAGTTGTTGGAAGTGTCGTAGATTTGACGCTGACCAGAGGGAGGATCTGTTCCATTCTTCAGAGAATTGTGACTTTTCCAATTGAAACCTTGCAGTTATAATTCAACCAGAGACGCCTCCATGTTTTCTAAAAGAGAGATCTGCAAATTTATTAAAACAGGGATGAGCAACTTAAATGATGGCAGGGGCCACAAATTTTTTGTGACACTGTCAGAGGGTCACATAGTATTGCACACTTACCCATATGTAATAAAACTGTCATTTTCCATCCATCCGTCCATTTTCTTCTGCTTGTCGAGTATCAGGTCACAGGGGCAGCAGCCAAAGCAGAGAGACCCAGAACTCCCTCTCCCCAGCCACTTGGGGCATCATTCTGGGGAAATCCCAAGGTGTTCCCAGACCAGCCGAGAAACACAGTCCCTCCAACGTGTCCTGGGTCTTCTTCTGGGCCTCCTCCCAGTGGGACATGCCCGGAACACCTCACCAGGGAGGTGTCCAAGAGGCATCCTAACCAGATGCCCGAGCCACCTCAACTGGCTCCTCTCGACGTGGAGGAGCAGTGGCTCTACTCTGAGTCCCTCCCGGATGACAGAGCTTCACACCCTATCTCTAAGGAAGAGCCCAGACACCCTGCAGAGGAACCTAATTTTGGCCGCTTGTACACGCGATCTTGTTTTTTCAGTCACTGCCCAAAGCTCATGACCATAGATGAGGGTAGGAACATAGATTGACCAATAGGACCACATCATCCACAAAYAGCAGAGATGCAGTCCTAAGGCTAACAAAACAAATCCCTTCAACACCTTGGTTGCACATTCTGTCCATAAAAATTATGAACAGAAYCTGTGACAAAGGGCAACCTTGGCGGAGWCCAACTTTTACTGGAAATGAGCCAGCCTTGCTACCAGCAATGCGGACAAAGTCCTGACACCAGTTGTACAGGGACCTAACAGACCGTATCAACAGGCCTTGTGCCCCATACTCCCAGAGTACCCCCCACAGAACTCCCAGAGGGACACAGCCTAACATCTTAAAGTCCWCAAAACATATGTAGACTGGTTGAGTGAACTCCTATGCACCCTCCAGGACCTTGCTGAGGGTGTAGAGCTGGTCCAGTGTTCCATGACCAGGACAAAAACGACATTGCCCTTCCTCAATCCAACCCTYGACTATCTGACTGACCCTCCTCTCCAGGACCCCTAAATAGACCTTACCAGGGAGGCTTAGGATTCTCATGTAGGTATACCCTAGTGAGTTAAACCAACATTTTAAGCGCAGCATTTAAAGATMCCCTTGGAGGCATACACTAGTTAGTAAAACCAACATTTATAATTGGATTTACAAAAGTATATTTTATATTGTTCTACACCCTGGAGGTAGGGAACGTTGGTTAGCACCTGATGGCTGGGCTTTCGCCCATGGAGCCCAGTTGGGCACAGCCCAAAGGGGAGACGTGKGTCCCCTTTCCCATGGGCTCACCACCTGTGGGAGAGGCCAAAGGGGTCGGGTGCATTGTGTGCTGGGCAGTGGTTGAGAGCGAGGACAGTGGCGGTCTGATCCTCAGCTACAGAAGCTAGGGGCGTGGAATGTCACCTCTCTGGTGGGGAAGGAACCTGAGCTGGTGTGTGAGGTTAAGAGGTTCCGACTAGATATAGTCAGACTCACCTCGAGGTACCACTCTGGAACTAGTCTTCTCAAGAGGGGTTGGACACTCTTCCACTCTGGAGTTGCCCATGCTGAGGTGCCGAGCAGGAGTGGAAATACTTATTGCCCCCCATCTTGGTGCCTGTAAGTTTGCGTTGATCCCGGTGAATGAGAGGGTAGCCTCCCTCCACCTAAATATGGGGGGAC